GTTGTGATTGGTACAAACACAGTCCTTCATTTGCATAAAGGACTGCCAGGACTAATGAAGATTGTGCCATGACTGGTGCAAACACAGCCATTCATTTGCATGAAGATCCTCCATGATTGGAATGGATACCTTTCTGTACCCTCTTTTGGGCTTTATAAGTAGGGTATTCTGTATATTTTGTGAGTCACCTGGGAGATACCCTGCTAAGCTGGCTTCTGGTGTTGCAACCTAAGGCCTAATAAAGTCTCTTCTTCAATAGTCAGTCTATCCTAGCTTTGATTTTTATCTTTAGATGAGTAGCTAAATTTGTAATAATGAGGCAGTGGCAAGGGCAGGGTGTCCAGAGCCATCTTGGTGGGAGGAGCAATGGAATCAACAAGCAGTTCCTGCAATACTGGAAGCCATCCTCAGGAGTGGCATAGGGCTAAGAGTAGCCAATCAGCCCAGGGTGGTGGTGATGGAGGTGAGGTCCATGGTAGGGGAGTTGTAACTATCCCAGCAAGAACAACCACCAGCAGGGGCCATTGGCAAAAGAGGTGTTAGCGCAAACAGCAGCTGCTGGGGTCTCTGGTGTAGGTAGGAACACTGGCAGCCCAGTGGGGCTTCCCATGCCAGTGGGAGCATCAGCAGCAGAGTGAGTGGGTAGAGCTGCCCACTGGCTTTGGAGCTGGCGCGGCGGCAGGAGTTGCAGTGCTTACTGGTGGTGTTGTTGAGTGCAGCAGGTCCTGATCCTAAGGCTGGCAATATCAAGTGTGGTAGGTGCTAGCCAGCAGTGAAGCCTCATGCCTGTAATCCTAGATATACTCAGGAGGCTGAGATCTGAGGATCATAGTACCAAGCTAGCCCCGGCAGGAAAGTCTGTGAGATGTGTGTCTCCCATTACCTAGCAAAAAGCTAGAAGTAGAGTTGTGGCTCAAATGGTAGAGTGCTAGCCTTGAGGCAAAAAGCTCAAGGATAGTGCCTAGGCCTTGAGTTCAAGTTCCAGTACTGGTACAAAACAAACAAACAAAATAATCCACTGTAAGTGCTGATTCCCCGTGATATATATAACCAGATAGACCTGTATTTGCCATTTTGTATTAGACCTGCTTGAAGAATGCAGCTGCTATTCTACCCGCCCTTGAGCCCCTGACACTCCTGGATCTGTAGCTAAAATTAACGACCCTCTGGCAGGGAGTACCTGACAAAGTACACATTTCAGACCACTTTCCCTGGCCTAGGATCAGAGATAGTGGCTGCCTGGCAACCACTTCCCCCGGGGTCGGGGTCAGAGATAGTGGCCATCTGGCAACCACTTCTCCTAAATTACCCTAGAAGTACCCTCTAATTAGTTTAGAGCACAATAGCTTGCTAGCCTGACCAATTATTAGCCCCAGCCCTCCCCCCCCCCCATTTTGTACTGCACCAATCATCCTCTAGAATTATGATTTAAATTTCCTGCGTGGTGTATTGATTCGTTGCCAATACATACTGAGGCTTACCCCTACCAAAGAACATATAAAAAGTGCTGTAACCCTGTGCTGGGGGCCTCTCTCTGCACTCGGACATCAGTGCACAGAGGGGTCCATGCTCGAGCTCGTCAATAAGCAACTCATTGCCGCTTGCATTGATCTTTGGTCCCTGGAGGTCTTTTTGGGCGCTTCAAGTCTCTGGGCAACACTTGCAACCAGCCAGGTCTCAGGGCCCTAACCCCCAGGGTGCAAGAGCTGAAAAGCTAGAGGCACAAGCCACCTGTTTCCACCCGTCCTGCACTACTGCTGCTTGCTAAGAGTCACAAACATCCACTAAGGGCCTGGATTGGCGGGAGGATTTCTTGCCTCCTCTTGCTATCCACCTGGACAGATGAATCAGGACCTGGAAGTAAACAAATGTCACCTCTAGGGGGCTTCTTGTTGGGATAGACTAGAAAACTGAGCAAGGGGTAGCAAAGAGAGTCCATGCCATGCCCAAGCCTGAAGGGCGAAGGCAGGAAGCAGTTCGTGAGTCGAGAGGGTAGAGATAGGAAAAAAAGGTTCTAGGAGGAACTAAGGCCTGGGGGAGGAATGAAGCCATTGCAAAGCAGGGCTGTCCAACAGGGAGCTGGGGAATGAACTTCCCAAAGTGGTCGCTTCCTGGCACCTCCCACTGACTGACACAGCCCAGAAGACACATGAGCCCATAGGCTCTCCATCTGGTAGGCAAAGCAGGGCACGGAGGGGTGACCAGAGGCAGACAGAGCAGATTCTGCAGTGTACCATTAAGCCTGGTGAAGGCCTGGCTTCCACCTGCCTTCTTCACAGAGGGGCCCCACATGGGAGGAGAGCACCTGGAATATAGCATGTGCTAGGCAAACATGTATGGAATGTACATTTGCCCTATAAGAGCAGGGGACGGAAGGAGCTCACATCACCAGCCCTTCACCCCCCCCCCCCCCCCAGCAGGCTGGAATACTTATCCCATTCTGCTCATTGCCAGGAAAGCCTGGCACCTTGTATGGGAAAAAGTTGGGTCCATTAGCCAGCAACTTTGTCAGATACCAGCTGAGGTAGTGAGATCTATGAGAGAAGATATACCTGTGTATATACCAGCCCAGCACCCCTTAGTGGCTTCTTTGGGCTCTCAGTGGATCATTGGCATGATCCTGGGTCTCCTTCCTCCTCCCCAAGGCTGCATTGCCCATCTGAAAGGGATGGAGGAACTATAAGGCAATGGGGTGCCAGCTCTGTGTGCAATTCACGGTGACACTGGCACATTAAAAGCTCTGGGAAGTCCTGCAAAAGAAAAAAAAAGTCAAAAGGAAAAAGAATAATTTGAATTTTATTTGACCTATTTCTCAATCCCATTTGTGTGTGTGTGTGTGTGTGTGCGTGCGTGCACGCGCACCAATTCTGAGGCTTGAACTCAGGGCCTGGGTATTATCCTTGAGCTTTTTGGCTCAAGGCTAGCACTTTACTACTTGAGCCACAGCTCCACTTCTGGGTTTTTTGGTGCTTAATTGGAGATAAGAGACTCACAGACTTTCCTGCCTGGGCTGGCTTTGAGCCATGATCCTCAGATCTCAGCTTCCTGAGTAGCTAGGATTGCAGTCATGAGCCACCGCAATTCCCTTTTTTACTGAGTGCTCACTGGGTTCTGATCTGAGGGAGGAAGCCAGGACAGTGAACAAAGGAACAGATCCCTGCGTGTGGGGGAGGGGGGCTCTACCTCTGCAGGTCTGTCACCAAAAGATCATGTCTTTCTTGCTTTAGGAGCTGCTCCCCAGGGCTGTCATTCAAGATGCTGAGCTTTTCAGGGATGCGGTGGGGGGTGGGGGGGAACAGAGGGAGGGAGAGGGTTATAGAGGAGAGGACAAGGATCCACAACTGCCAGTGTCAATGTCAGGGATGGGAAGCAGAGGCCATCTGAAGTTTCCTTTAACTTCATTGATTCATTCCTCCCTTCCTGTAGTAAATACTGTTGGTTCCCTATGACATGCCAGGCTCCCTTCTAGTCACTGAAAATGTAGAGGGGATTGAGCTAAGATTCTGGTCCTCCTGGACTTTCCTCCTGGGAGAAAACTAGAAATACAGGTTCCCCCAACACAGGAGCTTCCCTCTTTCAACCTTCTCCCCAGATTTACCTCCTAATTCCCACTCCCAACTCTCACCCAACCACACCCTTCCATTCAGGAAAGCGTTCACTTGGCTTCAGCCTGAGGCCTGGAATAGATGGAACGCCTCCACCTCCCACCAGCGCCCTCTTCTGGTGCCAAGAGGGGTTTTACTTTTAGGGGCTTTGCTCCCCCCTCCAGGGTTAATCCTTGAAAATGAGGCAACCTGGTAGAGAGGGTGATGGACGGCTGGCCTCAGAGGGGCCAGAGAGCCCTGGGCCACATGCTGGTCTGACATTGGGACTTGCTCAAGGCCAAGTAGATAAGGGGTAAGGAGGATCGGAATGCTCCTTGTGCCCTTAGTACTCCCAGCTTTTCTCTGGATGCCATCACTTCTGTCAGAGTCCTCAGGTTGGGCTAGGTGGTCTCCTAGGCCCTACTGTTGCAGATGCTCTGCAGTGAGATGGAGAAGCTTTTCTTCCAGTTGGGCCCACTCCTGGGCCCTCCCCTTCTCTGCCTCAATGTGAGGCCTGGGGAACGGGGCTGAGCACTCAAGCTGAGCAAATATAACACAAACCAGGCCTACAGCAAACAGGGGCCAGGGAGGGCATGGCTATTTTTAATCTCGGTTGGAAGGATTTTCACAGCTGTTCCCGCGGCTGTTCTCTGGCTTGTCAAAGGCCCAGGCTACGGAAGTGGCAGGCCTAATGGAGGGTGTGACAAGAAAGGTCCATTGCTGAAATCCCACCCAGGCATATGGCTGACCTTCCACCACTCACAGGGCTCTCTCAGCCCAGCTAAGCTCTGCCTGCCTCGGTTTCTAGGATACAAGTGCCTGCAGGCAGACATCCAGAAGATTTGTGGGTTTTATTGTATTCTTTTAATATTTGGGATGGAACTCAGGCCTTTGAGCAGGCTAAGCACCTGCTGTCCCACTAAGCTGTACCCCTGGCCCAACCAGGGAGAAATTTTTGGAAGTATACCCTTTCCTCTCACCTTCTCCCACCCCAGTTCCCCACATACACAGCACCTTGAAAACATCTGGCAGACACAGAAGAATCTCAAAAGCACTGTGCTAAACCAAAGATGTCTAGAAACTAATGGTATGGCCTGTAGGATTCCACTTGTATCCCCCAAGAATCTAAGGCAGGTGAGTCTCAGATTTCTGGTCTCTAAGGTGGGACAGAACTTGGGGATAGCAGAACTAGAGGCTGGTTTGTTCCGATAGAAACTTTCTGTTATCAGTTGGTTTATTTGGTGCCACCTGAATGCAGGAATGCAGGTCCTTCTGTGGGCTCTCCTTCTCCCGCTGTGGCCTTGGCCCTGGGAAGGACTGGTATTCCACCACCTGTTATGGGAATGGGGCCCCACGTGGCCCCCTCCACCTGCCTGCTTCCCTATATCAGAGCCCCAGGCTCTGGCTATCACAGCAGAGCACACAATGCCTCGGCTACTGATTTCGCTCCTTTGCCTGGCCCTGGGTAAGCTCCAGCCCGTGTCTCTGTTCCTCATGTTGCATGGATCTAGCCATCCATCCTGGCTCCTTGGGGTAACATCCAGAACCTAGGATCCTTCAGCATGGGGCTGGAGTGGAAATGGGAGAAGTTATGGGTGGAACAGGTCAGGAGAAATCTGGAAGAACCCAACAGGCTGAGGTAGGAGTCCTTGAGAGAATGGTGAAATCTCAGGGTTCAGGGCCTGGGCTCTAGGCTGGCATTTCTATTCTTCTGCTTTGTGACCCATCTCCTCATACATTCCCTCTATCCAGCTCCAGCGTCAGTGTTCCAGCCTTTCCTTGGCCTCTCTACAGGCCTCCTCTCGCATGACAATAAGGGTAACAGATAATATTCACTGCAGAATATCAAAGGTTTTGTCTTCTGTGTGTGTCTGTGCACACCTGATGGTACAGGGGCTTGAACTCAGGGCCTGGGCACCGTTCCTCAGGGTTTTTGCGCAAGGCCACAGCTCCACTTCTGGATTTTTGGTGGTTAAATGGAAATAAGAAGGCTAGGAATGTGGCTTAGTGGTAGAGTGTTTGCCCAGCATGCATGAAGCCCTGAGTTCTATTCCTCAGTACCACATAAACAGAAAAAGCCAGAAATGGCACTGTGGTTCAAGAGGTAGAGTGCTAGCCTTGAGCAAAAGAAGTTGAGAGAGAAAGAGAGAGAGAGAGAGAGAGAGAGAGAGTCTATCTCATGGACTTTCCTGCCTGGGTGGCTTCAAATCACAATTCTTCTCAGGTCTCAGCCTCCTAGGATTACAGGCATCAGCCACAGCACCTGGCTTCTTCTGTATCTTACATAATTCTCTCCACAGCCCTGTGGTTGGTACCATTATTATCCCCATTATGGAGAGTAGTAAATTACCTCATACAAAAACAAGCAGCTGAGCCATTTTGTGTCCAGGCTGTCTTACATCAAAGCCTCTTCTCTTGTTTATTTTTTCAGTCATAGGGCTTGAACTCAGGGCCTGGGTGCTGTCCTAGAGTTCTTTTGCTCAAGGCTAGTATTCTACCACTTTGAACCACAGTGCCACTTCCTGTTTTCTGGTGGTTTATTCTCACGGACTTCCCTGCCCGGGCAGGCTTTGAACTGTGATCCTCAGATCTCAGCCTCTTGAGTAGCTAGGACTACAGGTGTGAGGCACCAGCGCCTGACAAAGCCTCTGCTCTTTACGGAACTCTGGTCTCCTCTTCCCTTCTGGGGACCCTCTGGCTGAATGACACCTCTATTCTCTCCTTCAGCAACAGGCTATGGTCGATGTTTCTACAACCCTTCTGGCCGTGTGGTAAATGGTGAGGATGCTGTCCCCTACAGCTGGCCCTGGCAGGTAAGAGGAATACCCGCTGCTCTCAGGCCGTCCCTGGGCTCCAGGTCCCCAGGTCTGCACACATGCTGCCCAGTCCCCATCACTTCCTTTCCAACATCCACTTCTATCCCCTAAAGCCAGGGGACTTTGCCAGCTCAAGCTATAACCCTTGCTCAGCTGTTTGCAATTTAAGAGTAGAATCAGGGGGCTCAGTGGTAGAGTGCTTGCCTTGCATGCATGAGGCCCTGGGTTTGATTACTCAGCACCACATAAGCAGAAAAAGCTGGAAGTGGCGCTGTGGCTCAAGTGGTAGAGTGCTAGCCTTGAGCTGAAGAGCTGAGAGACAGCGCCAAGGCCCCCAGAGTTCAGTCCCCACAACCAAAACCAAAAGAAAAACAAAAAACCCCAAGAGTAGAATCAGTGGCTACCATCTATAAGAAGGCTAGTTACTCAGGAGGCTGAGATCTAGATGGCCACAATTCAAGACGACCCTGGTCAGGGAAGTTCTCTAGACTGCATCTCCAAAATAGCCACCAAAAAGCAGAGCTGGAGGTGTGGCTCAAATGATGGTAGAATACCAGTTAAACAAATACGAGGCCCTGAGATCACACCCAGTACCAGCAAAGGAAAAAAAAAAAATCAGGCTCAGTGGCTTAGTGGTAAAGAGCTTGCCCGGTGTATGCAAGGCCTGGGTCCTATCTCCAGTGCAACAAGAAAACAACAACAAAAATAAGCCTGGCCCTGGTGGCTTATGCTTATAATCCCAGCTACTCAGGAGGCTGAGATCTGAGGATCATGACTCAAAGCCAGCCCTGACAGAAAAAGTTATGAGATTCTTATCTCCAACTCATCAGCAAAAACTAGAAGCGAGGGTGTAAGCTCAAATGGTAGAGCACTGTCATGCGCAAAAAAGCCAAACAAGTCTCAGTACCGACACAGGCCAAAAATAAAATATCAAAATAGGTCACGAGTCAGATCTGACTCATAGATTCGAATTTGCCAACACTTGTTCTCCTAGAAACTTTGGAAAAATCAACACGTGTAGAGACGAGAAGAGAGGCAGAGGACCGGGGGTGAGCTGTGCTTAGGCAGTTCCGAGAAACCCGGAAAGATCTGACATGCAAGAGAATGTAGAGGATTTGAGAAGGGGGAGTCATGGAGGGTTCTTGAGAAAAAGAAAATTTAGGGATGTCCTAGAGGGTAGGCCATAGAGCCTAAGGTGGGGCAGCTTTGGCAGATTAAAATATGACCCAGAGAAAAAGTGGTAGGGCCCACATGAGCAGTGGTATGGGTTGTGCACTGCTCGAAACAGTTGTACAGTGTGGAACCTACCAGTCTGCTGATGGCCATCCTTCCAGTGGGCTTGAGGCCACCCAGGCTCTGTGCTCCTTGGCCTCCAGGTCTCCCTGCAGTATGAGAAGGAAGGGGCCTTCCATCACACCTGCGGTGGCACCCTGATCGCCCCCGACTGGGTCCTGACTGCAGGACACTGCATCTCGTAAGTCATCCCATCTGCCCCCTCCCTGCATGAGACCAAAGCATGGCTATGGCAAGAAGGGAGGTTGGCCCCAGGCCCATACCGACTTCGCTTCTTGACAGGTCCTTGCTGACCTATCAGGTGGTGCTGGGTGAGTATGACCGGGCTGTGGAGGAAGGGCCTGAGCAGGTGATCCCCGTCAACCCTGAAGGTCTCTTTGTGCACCCCGAGTGGAATGATAAATGTGTGGCCTGCGGGTGAGTAAACTCTCAGGCTTGGGGCCTGGGCTCCCCAACACTTCCTCCATGACATGGGCTCAAGTGACACCCAGCCAAGGGTAGAAGCAGAGCCATTAAGGATCATTGCCAGTCAGGTATCAGTGGCTCATGCCTGTAATCCTAACTACTCAGGAGGCTGAGATCTAAGGATACAGGTTTGAAGCTAGCCCTAGCAGAAAAATCCATGAGATTCTTAGTTCCAATGATCCACTAAAAAGCCAAAAGTGGAGCTGTGGTTCAAGTGGTAGAGTATGGGGCTGGAGGCCTAGGTTCTGATTGACTCCTTTCCTCCCCACCCTCCCTCCCAGCAATGATATCGCCCTGGTCAAGCTCTCTCGAAGTGCCCAGCTGGGAGAAGAAGTCCAGCTTGCCCGCCTCCCCCCTGCTGGTGACATCTTACCTAATGGAGAACCCTGCTACATTAGTGGCTGGGGGCGTCTCTCCAGTAAGTGTTGCCCTGCTAGCTGACCACAGGGACAGTGGCAGAAGGGCAGGCCCTGTGGGAGGGGGGGTGTAGAGGGTCTCCCCAAGTCCAGTTCTCACACTGTGCCTTCACTCCCCTCCAGACCTAGCCTTCTCCCCCATCCTCCCAATCATGGATAGTTGAATGGGACATCTGGGTGGTTCCCGCCTGTCATCCTAGCTACTGAGGAGGCTGAGATCTGAGGATCACGGTTCAAAGCCAGCCTGGGCAGGAAAGCCCGTGAGTCTCTTATCTCCAGTAAACCACTAGAAAACCGGAAGTGGTGCTATGTTTCAAGCGGTAGAGCCCTCGCCTTGAGCTGAAGAACACAGGGACAGCGCCCAAGCCCAGAGTTCAAGCCCCACGACTGACAAAAAAAAAATCTGTAAGATTTTTTTTTTTTTTTTGGTCCGGTCGTGGGGCCTGAACTCTGGGCCTGGGCGCTGTCCCTCAGCTCTTCAGCTCAAGGCTAGCGCTCTACCACTTGAGCCACAGCACCACTCCCGGCTTTTTTCTTTTTGCTTATGTGGTGCTGAGGAATCGAACCCAGGGCCTCAGGCATGCAAGGCAAGCGCTCTACCACTGAGCCACCTTCCCAGCCCCAATCTGTGAGATTTTTATCTTCACTAAATTACTAAAAAATTAGGAAGTGGAACTATGGCTCAAGTAGTAGAGCACTAGCCTTGAGCACAAAAACCCACAAAACTCAGGGAGAGCACCCAGATCCTGAGTGTAAGCCCCAGGACTAGCACAAAAAAAGAAAGAAAGAAAGAAAAAGAAGGCATGCAAGATAGCTGCAAGTTGGGCTGGGAATGTGACTTAGTGGCAGAGTGCTTGCCTAGCATGCATGAAGCCCTGGGTTTGATTCCTCAGTACCATATAAACAGAAAAGGCTGGAAGTGGCACTGTGGCTCCAGTGGTAGAGTGCTAGCCTTGAGCAAATGAAGCTCAGGGACAGTGCCCAGGCTCTAAGTTCAAGCCCCAGGAGTGGCAAAAAAAAAAAAAAGAAAGGATGGAAGGAAGGAAGGAAGGAAAAAAGAAAGAAAGAAAAAGAAATGAAGAAAGAGAGAGAGAGAGAGAGAGGGAGAAAGAGAGAGAGAAGATCATATAGTCCACAGCAGGCCAGAAAAGCAGGGGATCCTAGACTTGAGCTCCCTACTCAGTGTTCTCTGTTTCCATAGCCAAAGGGCCTCTCCCTGACAAGCTTCAGCAGGCACTGCTGCCCGTGGTGGACTATGCTCACTGCTCCAGGTTGGACTGGTGGGGCTTCAGCGTGAAGAAGACGATGGTCTGTGCTGGCGGCGACATTCGCTCTGGCTGCAACGTGAGTCCACTCTCAACCTGCCGCACAGGGTACAAGGGGCGCAGCCATCTGTCCAAGGTGGAGGGGCAGAGAAGGCATCTTGCCCGCTTACCTCATTCAGCCCCGGGCCAGGCAGGATGAAGAGGAAGTCGGCGTCATCTCTAGAGGTAGAATCGGGAGCTCCCCACTCTCAGCTGGCTCCCACACTGGTTGACTTGTACATGTCACTCGCCTGCTCCTGTCCTCAGGCTTCTCCAGTGGTAGAGTCAGAGACACTGGCCCTGTGACCTGGAATGCGGTGCAATTGTCTTTCTGAAGTTATAAATAAACATTAAGGGTACTTCTGTTAGCCGGGCACTGGCTCACGCCTGTCATCCTAGCTACTCAGGAGGCTGAGATCTGAGGATCACAGTTCAAAGTCAGCCTGGGCAGGAAAAGTCTGTTAGACTCTTATCTCCAATAAAGCACTCAGAAAACCCGAAGTGGCTCTGTGGCTCAAGTGGTAGAGCACTAGCCTTGAGCTGCAGAGCTGAGGGACAGCGCCCAGGCCCAGAGTTCAAGCCCCACCACTGACCAAAAAAAAAAAAAAAAAGGAAAAAGAAAAAAGAGTACTTCTGCTGCCCAGTGCCTGTAGCTCAAGCCTGTAATCCTAGCTACTCAGGGGGCTGAGATGTGAGGATTGTGGTTCGAAACCAGACTGGGCAAGAAAGTTCATGAGACTCTCATCTCCTGTTAATTACCAAAAAAAAGTCAGAGATGGTTCTGTGGTTTAAGCGATAGAGTCCTAGCCTGAAACAAAGAAGTTCAGGGTCAGCACTCAGGCCTTGAGTACAAGCCCCTACACCCAGGCATAGTGGAACATGCCTGTGATGTCAGCTACTGTAGAGACAGAGCCAAGAGGATCTTGAATGCAAAGCCAACCTAATCAAAGTTACCAAGACTTTATATCAAAAGCAAACTACAAATGCAAAGGAAAGGAATGTGGCTAGAGTAGTAGAGCACCTGCCTGCCCAGAAGAACCTAGATTCAATCCCAAAGCCTGTGAAAAAATGCTTTCATTGTATTATGAGTATAAAGAATAACATCAGATTAACTGTTGTACTAAGAAAAGGAACTACCATTCTCCAAGTGCCTCCACCTTATTAGATTTTGGCCAAGATCCTTTATCTTTTTTCTTTTTTTTGTCTGTTGTGGGGTCTGAACTCTGGGCCTGGGCGCTGTCCCTCAGCTCTTCAGCTCAAGGCTAGCGCTCTACCACTTGAGCTACAGCGCCACTTCTGGCTTTTTCTGCTTATGTGGTGCTGAGGAATCAAACCCAGGGCTTCATGCATGCCATCTTCCCAGCCCCCAAGATCCTTTATCTTATTTTATTAATAATGTGTGTGTGGCTGGGCATTGGTGGCTCACTCCTGTAATCCTAGTACTCAGGAGCCTGAGCTCTGAGGATCATGGTTCGAAGCCAGCCCAAGCAGGAAAGTCCATGAGACTACTCTTATCTCCAATAAACCACCAGAAAACCAGAAGTGGCGCTGAGGCTCAAGTGGTAGAGCGCTAAGAGTGCTGGGATAGTGCCCAAGACCAGAGTTCAAGCCCCATGACTGACAAAAAATAAAAATAGTGTGTGTGTGTGTGTGTGTGTAGGACTGGGGTCTGAACTCAGGGCTTGGCTCTACTGCTTGAGCCATGCCTCCTACAACCCTCTTTTGCTCTGGTTATTTTTGAATGTTTTGATCTTGCTCTTTGCCTGGGCCAGCCTGCATTCTGACTTCCTATTTATCTTTTCCATCTGAATTGGAATGACAGCCGCAGCCTCATGCCACCGTGCCCAGACTTTTCTGCTGAAATCTGGTCTCTTGAACTGGCCACAAACCATCATTCTCCCAATCTCAACTTTCTGAGTAGCTGGGATTACAGGTGCAAGGGACTGCACCAGGCCAGTATCTTATTTAATCCATACCAACTCATAAGACAGATGGCTGTTTACCTCATTTCATAGATGAGATTCAAATAAGGAGTGAGTTTAATGAAATCCTTGAAGTTAGAAGCAATCCCTCAGTCACAGCTCAGCCCCTTTCCTGTCTGACCATTTCAGGGTGACTCCGGAGGACCCCTTAACTGCCCTGCTGAAGACGGCACCTGGGAGGTCCATGGAGTGACCAGTTTTGTGTCTGCCTTTGGCTGCAACACCAAGAAGAAGCCCACGGTGTTCACTCGGGTCTCAGCCTTCAACAAGTGGATTGAGGAGGTGAGGGGAGCAGGGTGCTGGAAGGACTGGGGTGGAAGGGCACAGATTGGAAGGAGGGCCAGGAGGGAAGTCCTGGGAGCATTCCTGAGGGCTTAGAGATGTTTTGTGGCCCAGAGAAAAGAGAGTCGTCTTTGGGTGGGGCTCTCAAGCCCTGTTGTACTTTCTGAATTCAGCATGTGGCTAGGAGTGTCTCCTCTGGAGCAGGTCTTCCCTCCTCCTCCTTCTCCTCCTCCTCCTCCTCCCCCTCCTTCCCCTCCTCCTTCTCCTCCTCTTTCTCCTCTTCCTCCTCTTCCTCCTCTTTTTTCTGCTGGTCCTGGGGCATAAACTCAGGGCCTGGGCACTGTCCCTGAGATTCTGCTCAAGGCTAGTGCTCTACCACTATGTCTGGCTTTTTCTAAGTAGTTTATTGGAGATAAGGGTCTCAGACTTTTCTGCCTGGGCTAGCTTTGGATGGCAATCCTCAGATCTCAGCCTCCTGAGTAGCTAGGATTACAAGCTTGAGCCACCAGCATCCAGCTAAGCAGGTCCTTCTTGAGGAGGGGGAGGGAGGGAGAGAGAGTAAAAGGGAGAGGGAGAGGGATGCAGTGCAAAGAGCCACTTGGTGGGCGCACAGAGAGGGAAGTGGACAATAATGCTGAAGGGTAGGGACAGCTGTGACAGGGAAGAGCTCAGACCCCATCTGGGAACAGGTGATCTGACAGGTCACTGATATTGTTCATGAACAGCACTAAGTGCTGGTGGCTCATGCCTGTAATCCTAGCCACTTGGAAGGCTGAGATCTGAGGACTGCAATTCGAAGCTAGCCTAAGCAGGAAAATCCAGGAGACTCTTCTCTCCAATTTATCACCAAAAAAGCCAGAAGTAGAAGTGTAGCTCAAATGGTGGAGTGCTAGCTTTGTGTGAAAAAGCTCAGGGATAGTGCCCAGGCCTCAAGTTTAAGCCCAGGCTGGCTTAGAACTGCCATGCTCACAATCTTAGCTTGAAAGTAGATAGGATTATAGGTGTGAACTACAGTACCTGGCTCTAACTAGACTATTCCTTTCCACTCTTGCTTTTTTCCAGACCATTGCAAACAACTAGCACCAAGGCCCAGCTGGCTGTGCTGACCCCACTTCCTTCATAAATAAAGAGCTTTCAGAACGTCCAAACTGAGTCCTCTTCTGCACTGATTCATGTCTTCTCCTCTGACATCCTCCTAAGAACACAAAACAGAAGTGCAGAGGTGACAGTGGACCCCCCCCCCCTCTCAGAAGAGGATGAAAAGGAAAGAAGGGAGCCGTTGAGGGGTGTTCAGTCAGCCTAGTTAGCCTGGGACATGAGGAGTGCTAGAACACAGGGCTTTCCGTGTATAAACAGACCCAGAGACGTGTATACCCTCACACACATACTAGTGACTTCTCAATGCAAGCATAAAACCACTCCACTCTGCAGAAAACCCAGCTCCATCAGCTCTGGGGAGGCTCATGGGGACAGTGGGAGGGACCATATATCCTCTGCCTTTTGATTGGCTGGAGAGGGGGAGAACTATGCTCACCCATTCATTCAACAAACAAACATTTATTTATTTTTGGGGGGGGTCTGGTCATGGGGCCTGAACTCTGGGCCTGGGCGCTGTCCCTCAGCTCTTCAGCTCAAGGCTAGCGCTCTACCACTTGAGCCAAAGCTCCACTTGCAGCTTTTTTTTCCTTTTTGCTTATGTGGTGCTGAGGAATCGAAACCAGGGCCTCATGCATGTAAGGCAAGTGCTCTACCACTGAGCCACCTTCTCAGCCCCAAACAAACATTTATTATTCCAGGAGAGGATTCAGAGGGGGAGGCAGACACGGCTCTTCTGAAGTATCTCCTTATTTATAAAGAGTCATCCAGAGCCAGGGGCTGGTGGCTCACACTTGTAATCCTAACTACTGAGGAGACTGAGATCTGAGGATTGTGGTTCAAAGCCATCCTGGATACAGAACTCCATGAAACTCTTGTCTCCAAAAAAATCACAAGTGGTGCTGTGGCTCAAGTGGTAGAGTGCTAGCCTTGAACAAAAGAATCTCAAAGACAGCATCTAGGCCCTGAGTTCAAGTCCTAGGACAAAAAAAAAAAAAAAAGCCATCCATTAAACCGTAACTAGCTTACCTGCCAAGGGTGAGCCATCATATTAAACCATGACTAGCTACATGCCTCATGGCTAGCTCTGGGTAGGGAATGCAGAGGCAAGCCCTGGATGCATGAAGAGGAGACATAGGCATAGATCTGCAGGCACAGATTGACCCAATGTCCAAGGCTGCAGCCCAGCAAGGTGTTGAGGCCTGAAAGACCCCATATATGCCAACGAAAGCAACCTAACAAGCAGTGCAGCTGCTAAGTATTGATGGCTCATGCCTGTAATCCTAGCTACTCAGGAAGCTGAGATCTGCAGATCTCCGTTCAAAGCCAGCCTGGACAGTAAAGCCCATAAGACTTATCTTCAATTAACTACCAGGGGAATAAAAGCCAGAAATGGAGCTGTGGCTCAAGTGGTAGAGAACTAGCCTTGACCAAAAAAATACAGGGACAGCACCCAGGCCCTGAGTTCATGCCCCAGGATGGGCACAAAAAGAACAAAGCCAAACAAAAACAGTGCAATCTTTTGTTTCATGGGACTCCTGAGATCCAGGAAAAGGACTTAGTCCCAACAAAGACAGGTTTATACAATATTTACTTGTGTGTGTGTGTGTGGTGCTGAGGATGAACCCAGGACTTTGCTCATGCTAGGCAAGCTGTACCATTGAACTACATCCCCAGCCTTGAGATATCAATATCTATATCTACCTACCTACCCATATTTCAAGAAATGAAATTATTAAATGATAAGGGATCTTTCCTCCTTTTCCTCCTCCTTTTCCTTCTCCTTCTCTTCTTTCTTCTTTCTTTTTTTCTGGGACTTAAAGTCAGAGCCTTGTGCTCTCTCTTAGCTTTTGCACTCAATGCTAGCACTCTGCCATTTGAGCTCTAGCTCTATCAGCTTTTTGGTGGCTAATTGGAGGTAAGAGTCTCATAGATTTTTCTGTCTGGACTGATTTCGAACTGTGATCCTCAGATCTCAGCCTCCTGAGTAGCTAGGATTACAGGCAGAAGACACTACTGCCTGCTAACAATACTTCCTAAAATGCCCCCTCTGCCACCCCTTCCCATCTTCTGACGCCACACATCACAAACAGCCCCACATTTTTTCTCCTCTCCCCCAGGGTCAAGAAGTGCCCTTCAAGCTAGGCACCGGTGGCTCACATCTGTAATCCTAGCTACTCAGGAGGCTGAGATATGAGGATTGTGGTTCAAAGCCATCCTGGGTAAAAAAAAGTCCATGAAACTCTTTCTTTCTTAGCTACTCAGAAGGCTGAGATATGAGGATTGTGGTTCAAAGCCATCCTGAGCAAAAAAGTCCATGAAACTTTTCTTTCTCTCTCTCTCTCTCTCTCTCTCTCTTTTCTCCTCCTCCTCCTCCTCTTCTTCTTTTGGTCAGTCATGGAGCTTGAACTCTAGGTCTGGGCACAGTCCCTCAGCTCTTTAGCTCAAGGCTAGCACCCTACCACTTAAGCCACAGCACCACTTCCGGTTTTCTGGTGTTTATTGGAAATAAGATTCTCAAGGCCTTTCCTGCCAGGGCTGGCTTTGAACTGTGATCCTCAGATCTCAGCCTCCTGAGTGGCTAGGATTACAGGCATGAGCCACAGGCACCCAGCTTTCCATGAAACTCGTCTCCAATAAACCACTAGAAAACTGGAAGTGCTACTGTGACTCAAGTGGTAGAATGTTTGCCTTGAGCTGAAGAGCTAAGGGACAGCGCCCAGGCCCAGAGTTCAAGCCGCATAACCGACAAAAAAAAAAAAAAAAAAAGTGCCCTTTGAAAACCTTCCAGAATAGTTTCAGGAGAAAGGGCAGTGCATAATCCCACACTCCCATGGATTAGCAAAGCCCCCACGCTGAAAACTCAGCCTCAGGGGGGAAACTGGGATTGCTATGCCCTCTGGTCACCACACGTGGGCAGCAGAGAGTCATGTAGTCTGGCCTAAAACTGCCAACCGTTTAATTAATTCAATTCTTTTTCTTTTCTTTCCTCCCTCACTCCTCCCTCCCTTCCTTCCTTCATTTTCTTTTTTTTTTTCTTTTTCGTCAGTCGTGGGGCCTGAACTCTAGGCCTAGGCACTGTCCCTGAGCTCTTTTGACCAAGGCTAGCACTCTACCATTTGAGCCACAGTACCACTTCCAGTTTTCTGGTAGTTAACTAGAGATAAGAGTCTCACAGGGCTGGGAAGATGGCTCAGTGGTAGAGCGCTTGCCTTGCATGCCTGAGGCCCTGGGTTCGATTCCTCAGCACCACATAAGCAAAAAGAAAAAAGCCGGAAGTGGCGTTGTGGCTCAAGTGGTAGAGCGCTAGCCTTGAGCCCAGACCCAGAGTTCAGGCCCCACGACCGGACCCAAAAAAAAAAAAAAGAGTCTCACGGACTTTCTTGCCCAGGCTGGCTTTGAACCATGATCCTCAGATCTCGGCTTCCTAAGTAGCTGGGATTGCAGGCATGAGCCACCAGTGCCTGGCTTGTGAGATTCTTATGTAGAAATGGTGTGGCTCAAGTGTTAGAGCACTGGCTTTGAGCCAAGAAAGGAGCTTAGGGACAGAACAACAAAAAAGAGAACCTGTCAACAATTAGGTTCCAAGGAGACAGGCTGAGCACCTATTGGTACTGTCAGGAATGAGAGGCAGAGGAAGATGGTCCAACCTTGGCAGAGCCACAATCCAACTAGGAGGCTGGGTCACCCCAAGTAGTGGTTGTGACCTGGCCCTGTTCCAATGGGGACCCACAGTGATGTCCAGTCTAGGGTGAGGGAGCTATGGGGAGACAGGAAGATCAGAGGTCTCAGTGGTTCTTATATCTAGATGACTGTGACATCAGACATTCCCATCAAATGTAAACGGACAAACTGTCTTTCGTTGAGGCTGGGGATGGAGCTCAGCGGTGGAGCATTTGTAGGGCGCCAACAGGACCCTGACTTCAATCCTCAGCATCACCAAAAGAGAAAAGAATCTCTTAACACCAAAGGTGTAATGCTGAGAATCTTTGTTCTCTAAAATTAGACACTGAGCTCTTGGACATCACATCGGTGGCACAGAGCCTCCCACTCTAGTGGGTCAGAGCTGTAGCCTAGATTTGCAGCCCAGGTGCAGAACTTCACAGAGGGGTTTTTGAGCACAACAGTCTATTTATCTTAACTCTGTGGGATCAGGGAAACAGAACTCTGAGGCTGGATTCTGGTCAAGCCACATGTTAAGCTCTTCATATATAACCGGTTTACTTGGGGCCAAGAACACTGCTTTACCTCAGTTACTCCTCAACCCCACCTCTCCTAGACCCTGTTTCTTCCTTTGGGGAGATACTGCACTTTTTTTTTTTTCATGTTCTGTTTCTCTTGCCACATCTAGGAAATAAGCCTAACTTTGTTTGAGACAAAGTCTTGTTATGTAGCCCAAGCCAATATCCTACTCTTACCCCCTACCTCCAAGTGCTGGGATTACAGGCAAGCATACCATGCCTAGCTCCTTACCCTGTTAAACTACAGCAGAGTCCCTTGCCCTCTGACACATTGGCTTTATTATAAAAGTTGAGACTTCTCTTCCTTTCCATTCACTTACTGATTCAAGCTTATGTTTAGTAACATGGCCTTGTGGACCCTGCCTGTGGAGTATGAGGTAGAAAATAAATAGGTAAAACTGGGCATGGTGGCTCACACCTGTAATCCTAGCTACTCAGAAGGTAGAGATCTGAGGATTGTGGTTCAAAGCCTGCCTGGGCAGAAAAGTCCATATGACTCTTATCTCCAATAAACCACTCAGAAAAAGCCAGAAGTGGCGCTGTAGCTCAAGTGGTAGAGGGCTCACCTTGAGCTGAAGAGCTCAGGGACAGTGCCCAGAGTTCAAGCCCCACGACTGGAAAAAAAAGAAAAAGAAAAAAAAAAAGATGGCTGTGCCACTGAGGTGATAAAATGGAACCGTTGTCCTTTATCTGATACAATGTCATCAAAACGAGTGAACAAGCCAGAAGTAGAGGTGTGGCTCAAGTGGTAGAAGGCTAGCCTTGGGTAAAAAAGCTAAGGGAGAGCACAAGGCTCTTATTTTAAGAC